CAAAAAAACACAAAATTAAAATAAGTTGATTTTAAGTTTTTAAATAAATCTTTAAATAACCTACAGTAGAACCCCTCTATTCCCCGTCACCTTTGGGACTGGGGGTATGGTCGGAACGCAAAAAAGGTCGGATTATCAGAAAAAAGTAAAATAAACTATATTCCTTTTTGTCCAGTGTTTGTAGCACCGCTAATTTTTGATTTAATGAAAGAGTAACGTGTTTAGGTTTCACTCCTGACATGCTGAAAACACGCACAAAACTGTACACATACACACAGTGTAAAACATATACTGTAACGAACACAGAAAAACGCCACGGACGGTGAGTCATTGAGGAGTCGGGACAAGTTTCTCGACTACGACCACGGTCGGATTAACCGGAGCGACGGACTAGCCGAGGGCGGACTAGAGGGGTTCTACTGTATTAACAAATTAATTTTTTCAGGTAGCAAATTAAAGTAAATTCATATAAATACATGGCTTTCGTTATTTTTCTAAAAATGTTAATATAAATACCGTATTTATTATTTACTTGAAAAATAAAAATACTCATATTCGTGCTGTGAAGTTATCGATTTTCTTGGAGTGACAATTGCTTACAGAACAATCTTCAAACTTTATATTCGAAATAATAATTCGTGTTCGTTCTTTGAAAAAAAGTGTTTTAAAATAATAACTTTAACTTAATAAATATTAACTTTTCAACAATCTATATATACACACATATATATATATATATACGGAAAAGTGAAATATAGAGACACATACGTCCATTTATATATATATATAAATGGACGTATGTGTCCCTATATTTCACCTTTCCGCCAAAACTACACATCGCACATGGATGGTGTTTGTATGTGGTAGTAGCCCCAAGTCTCCATTCGTGCACTGTGGTGGTTGAGTCTCGATAGCTATAACGGTACGGGAGATATGGAGCTGAAAGTAGTTGAAAGTGGCTTTCTATTTCGAATGTTATGTTCGAATTTGTTCGAATTTAATTCGAACATAAAATTCGAATATTGGTTCGATTATAGAACGATTGTAAACGTTCCAGAAACGTTGAAAAGTGTTCGTTTGACTGGGCGTGAACAGGAGACGTTCAGACATAGAATCGGGATCAGGTCTCTAATTAGTCTGGAAACGTGGGACCTAATTCTTGCATTCTCTGAAAACGGGTAAGATTGGCTATAATGTAATTATCTTAATTTGCACTATCGTTTCTTTTTAAAAACCCAGCGAAGCCGGTCCTTGCAGCTAGATTCTATATTACTTAGAAAAACAGTCTTTTATATATTAAAAAAAAACTATATTACATACAAATGTACGAACAAATAAAAACCCAGCGAAGCGGGTCCTTGCAGCTAGTAATTTATAAAATTAAACAAAAAAGAATAGAATAATTTTAATAAACATAAAGGAATAAATAAATGAAAACGTGGAGAAAATACCTAATGTGTAATTTTCAACTTAATGTATAGAAGTAAAGATTAAAAAGGAAACTTAATATAATAGAGAAATTTATGCAGTATATTATTTTCTATTTATTTGCTTTGAAAGTAATTATTTGACTGATTTCGCGTGTCATATACTTTTTTAAATCAGAATATTCTATTCAGTTCTAAACAGCAATTCGTGAAATTGCCTTAAACGTTTTCTTTATACAATTCATGTGCAAATCAAATAGCGTGATAATCAATTTAATCCTGGTGTTTTTCGAACATTACTCTTGAAAGTGTTCATCAGTTTGAGTTGTATCAATTGCATTTATATTGCAGTAAACGGTAAGTGATTTTATGTTAAATTATCTTTAACTCATAATAAATCATGTAATTATGAAATTTTCAAAGTTGAAAAAAAAATTGTAAACTATAATGTAATATTTAACACATTTTAATATTAAAAAATATTACAAAATTATTTTCTATGATAATTGTATTTTAAAATAAATAATAAAATACAAAGATATTAAACTTTAATTAATAATAAAATATTTTTAAAATAAGATAACTATTTTTTTTTCTGTGTTTAAAATATCTATTTTTTTAACATTAAACTGTTGGTTCCTAAATACTATAATATAACTTATTTAAAATTATATATCGACCGAAACAATAGAAAATTCTTCTATCGATTTTACTGCACAAGTGAAAAAACTTCCATTTGCAGACCTAACAGGAAAAATTATTATTTGTGTTTAGGAAATAACTGTGGTCATCGGGTTAAAGGTTTTATAAAACCCGAAAGGTTCAAAATATCTTTTAATGTAAGTTTGTTTATCGATTTATCAATATAGTTAAAAAAATTAATTTACCACTTTGTTAGTTAATGATAATTAATGAAAACAGATGTGGTAGTTTAGAAAAGAATTCTTTTAAAAATGTTTGTTTTTTCATACAGGTTAAGGATGTAATAATTTTCGAAAAATTATTTTGTCTCTTTAATCTACTTAACGTTATTTATGTTGACATCAAAGATTTGTAAAAACGTTTCATTACAGATCATTTGAATTCAATGATAACAAATGGAAAAATCAAGTTTTAATTTTTTTTTTATTATTACTCCATTTGAGAGAAAAATCTCATTTCTAAATCTCATCAGAAATTCTGTGTTTTCATTGTAATGTCTAAATTCTGTGTTCATTGTAATTTTAATTACTAGTCGTATATCTTTGTCTGATAGAAGGAACCACCTTCTATCAGACAAAGATATACGACTAGTGATGCAACGAATAGTATATTCGGCCTCAGGCCAAATAGCGAATATTCGGTCAGGAGCCTGGCCAAATACCCGAATATTCGGCCAAACTATTCGGCTTGATTAACGCACGTACGAAAATTGGCAAGGATCGCACACCCTGCTCTCTATTGGCCCGCTATCACTACGCTTCGCCAATCGCGTTAATTCTTCACAGTCGTAGCGGACAGACACAAGCATAATGGCAATATGTGATAAATGATGATATCAAATGTGGATAACAATGAAATGACCTACACGTGTAAATAACGGATAAAGAACAGAGAAGGACCGCAAAGTGAAAATGTGAAAATAAATATGAAATTGAGTTGATAACATAATCGAACGAGTCGAGGCAGCTTATTGGCGCGAAAGTCGCGGCCGTCAATGCCAAATAATTGTTGTCATAGACTTCGGAAAGCTAAATTCTTATAATGAAAGTCACTTAGCGTGCACGGGAGAATGCCTGGGGCCGTTCAGGCTACCAAGCTGNTATTTTTTACGATGTAGTAGGATAAAATATATAAACTACTTCATATTTAAAACTAGAAACTATGTACAATTTACAGTACAAACATTTAGATACAGCAACAACTTGATTAAGTGCTATATATTTTTGCTTTTGTTTAGGGAAATGATACTCTAATCGTTTTTTTTCCAATACACTGCTGCAGCGCAAAAGTTGACAAATTCTAAAATATTATAGAAATATTCGTCAACAGACCTATTTATATAAAGATTTATTTCTTCGACTTTAATAGCTAGGCTAAGATCAAAATAATGAAAAATTTCATTTCATATTAATCAGCAACATAAAGTAACTATTAAATGAAAAATTATAAACTATCTTACACTATAAATTACGATTTTTCTGGTTTTCTTATAAAATACAAAATATCGCAGCATTTAAATTAAAAAAGAAATAACAGTAAAAAGTATTCAATAACATTTTTATGTAAGTATCTCCTAAGAAAATAAAAATATAAAAATATTTCGTATATAAAATTGTATACATCTTTACCTTGTACTGTAATGAAACAAAAAAATGCTGTAAAGAAAACGAGTTGAAATATTCCATTATGCATGACCAAAGCCGTCTGAATGTAACAATATTTCACATCATATATTTCTATTGTTGCTGTGTCAAGTTTCATATATTGCAATAAACTGCATGAATATTTATAAAAAATAATTACTTTAATGAAACTGTGACTTTGATGTATTATCATGCAACATACTGAAATTAAAAGTAAACAAAATTTATAATTAGTGTTGGTTTTTTAGTTTTTTCCATGTTTTATTAGGCACGAAAGTTAAAAAATTAATGGGTTATAATTATAGGGCTTAAACAGGGTGTTATAAACCTATAATAAAAGAGAAAATTAACATTTAATTTTTTTAAATGTTTAATACCTTACAGTTTTATATATCACAATATAACTTACTAAATTTAATAAGTATAATATTTATAATAATATTTGAGTATATTACTAACAATTTATTTATATATAAGATAAATTGTTCTGAAATATATGTAACTAGCTGCGTTTCTCTAACAAAAAGTAACGATAGCAAAGATAAAGATTATCAGACTATAGCTGATCTTACCTGTTTACACCAAGTTCAAGAAATAGGTCTCCCTGTTTCCAGAATTATTAGAAAACTTTTAAATATCTTTTGTTTCCTTACTACATAAATGTAAAAATACAAAAAAAAATTAATATTTTTCTTTTTCTTCTGATTTTTGGATAATATATAACTTCCATGTTTAAAAAATATCAATCCAATAAAGACTATAAAATTTCCAAAACAGAGTTAAAAAGGTATAAAAAACAATTTGCAGAGAAAAAACTTTTATTTACATTATTACGAACAAGCTTCCCAAATGCATTTCGCCTACGACCTTTTCAGTGGGGCTTAGTACACAAAGTGAGTTCTAACAGTCAACTTATTAAAAAGCCACTTATATAGTTAACAAAAAATTCTCAGCATTTTGCTGTTAACATTCCGGTATTTAAATTTACATTATTGTTTTGCATAATTATAGCGAAGTGTTCTTTTACCTTTCGCTTTACATTATTTTTTTCCCTAAAAATTATTTTTAATTTATTAATATTTATCTGACAATTATTACTATTACAATGTTGGAAGACAGGAGAATTACTCATTTTCAACCTTACGGCAGCCAAATGTTCCGACAGTCTGATCCTTAATCTTCGTTTTGTTTCACCGACGTAAAAACTAGGATTGTTACACGTGCATTCTATCCGATAAACAACACCTTCTTCTTCTAATATATCTTTAGCATTATTTCTGATGATCATCATATTTGATAACCTGTTATTTAAGGATGGAGCCAATCTAATTAATTTATGATTAAAGAAGTTATTATATTTTTCATAAATACCTTTTATATACGGAAATGATACATACTTTATTATTTCTTGACAACGTTTAACTTTAAACCTGTTTCTTAAAAATCTGTGGAACCAATCATTTAGTAATCTTTTTGGATATCCATTTAAGATGTATTTCTTATGTGTATCTTCAATTTCTTCTTTTCTTTTATCTATATTTGTTGTTCTAGAAAAAATCTTTGTTATTTCCATCAGATATATATTATATTTTTGATATAAAGGACAGTATGATTTATAATTAATTACTTTTCTCGTGTCACACAGTTTTTTAAATTTACAATATTCCAAATGGTCTTCAAATCTTTTAATTATTATATCTAAGTAACTTAATTGACTATTTAATTCATGTTCTTGAGTAAACTTAATATTCAAATTAATTTTATTAGCGTGTTCCAAAATTTGCAAATTTGTTGTGACTGCACTATCATACACTATCAAAATATTATCGACGTACAGTACATTCAAGAAACAAATTGTTATTTCGGTTTCATTTTAACGGAATTAAAAAGTACAGTATTTGAAATAATTTACTGTTTGAACATACATATTTTACATAAATTTCGAATATTTTGAATGCGTTATTTTTCTTATTTATTTATTTATTACAGTAAGTAATTTACGAACTGTATTAAACAGAAACTTGAATAATACTCTAAAATCGATTAAGTACAATACTTTATAAAAGAATAATTTTGTTTTAGTGTCTATAATATAACAATTTCCGTGTTACATTTTCAAGTTATATACAATACAATCGGTGCATAAATTACTTGTTAGGCACAAAAAAGTAAATCATTTTTATCTTTAGAAAAAAAATACATACTTCTACGATTACAATAAATTATCTATTATTTACAAGGAAAAAGTGAAGGAATAGTGAAAATTTTAAATGAAGTCATCCGGAAAAAAGCTTTTCTACCTTTAAACAAAGTGTACAACAAATGCTACATCATAAATATGCATATATTACGTCAGCATATTTTTTTGCTACTTTATATATTACGTCAGCATATTTTTTTGCTACTTTAAAAATGGATGCAAATTTATTTGTCATTTCAGAAGATATATTCATGTCTTATTCAATTGCATTTCNTGTTCCAAAATTTGCAAATTTGTTGTGACTGCACTATCATACACTATCAAAATATTATCGACGTACAGTACATTCAAGAAACAAATTGTTATTTCGGTTTCATTTTAACGGAATTAAAAAGTACAGTATTTGAAATAATTTACTGTTTGAACATACATATTTTACATAAATTTCGAATATTTTGAATGCGTTATTTTTCTTATTTATTTATTTATTACAGTAAGTAATTTACGAACTGTATTAAACAGAAACTTGAATAACACTCTAAAATCAATTAAGTACAATACTTTATAAAAAAATAATTTTGTTATAGTGTTTATAATATAACAATATCCGTGTTACATTTTCAAGTTATATACAATAAAATTGGTGCATAAATTACTTGTTAGGCACAAAAAAGTAAATCATTTTTATCTTTAGAAAAAAAATACATACTTCTACGATTACAATAAATTATCTATTATTTACAAGGAAAAAGTGAAGGAATAGTGAAAATTTTAAATGAAGTCATCCGGAAAAAAGCTTTTCTACCTTTAAACAAAGTGTACAACAAATGCTACATCATAAATATGCATATATTACGTCAGCATATTTTTTTGCTACTTTAAAAATGGATGCAAATTTATTTGTCATTTCAGAAGATATATTCATGTCTTATTCAATTGCATTTCCAATGAAAAAGAAATTCAAGTTTAAGAAAAAATTTAATAAAATGTAAGCATATGTTTTAATAATGTAAGCATTCAAGCATTTTCAATGTTTTACATTGAAGATACTTGAATGCTTACGTTATTAATAATATATATATATATATATATAAAAGTACTTGTCTTGACTGACTGATTGATTTATCATCTCCCAGAGCAAATTGCTGAACCTAAAGAGGTAAAATTTTGTAAACCGTTATGGTACATCATGAAAACGCACAATAAGACAGGATTTTTCGGAATTCCCCAGAGGTGGGAGAGAGAAAGGATTAAGGCTTAAACTGAAGAACGGCTTCTACTGTACTCTTTTAAATGCGATATTTTGCTTTTGAGAAAAATGAACGCTGAATGGGTCCATTGTGGGGTTAAAGAGCATTTTTCCATCTTGCAATGTTACAAATATTGCAAGTTTGAAAATACTAGTTAAACGTGTCAGGTAGAGAAAGAAACGGGTAGCCAGTGTTCTGGAAACCATCGTTTTATAAATTGACCAGACAGAAACAAACATCCAACCTGTACAAACTGTCATACACATAAGGAGGGAAAAAGTAAACACAATTTGTTTGATAAAGAATGTCCAATTTATAAGCACATCTAAACTCTGATAATCTGACATACATACATATTGTCACTCTATAAGAATTAATTTTTTGCAAATCAATTTACAAAGATCCGTCAGTGCAATATTCGCCCTCTTCAGCATTATCACAAAATATGACATAGTTATGGTACAGGAACCATATTGCTTCAGAGACAGAGTATTCTGTGTTCCTTCCCGGCACCTAGTGATATAGGATACAAGAGACACCCATTGGGCTGCACATATTATACCGTACGTTACCATCGCCGTATTTCACCAAAGGCAATTTACAACGAAAAGTATTGTATGTATTGAAACCCAATACAACACACAAAAGCTAGTCATTGTTAGTGTCTGCGCATCAAAAAAAAGATATATACATCAGGAATTGCAGATCCTGCAGAACATCCCAGATTTCTTTCACCAATACCATATAATTATTGCGAAAGATTTTAATGTTTTTTCACCAACTTGGGGCAGCAAGACTTTGGATGAAAGGGGCAGGCCATTGAAGACTTTATGGCACGTAACAACCTCAATATTATTAACGATCCGGATTATCCCCCATCTTTTGAAGGACCTAATGTGTCTTCTCAAATTGTTTTGTCTAATTTCGTTTCGTTTGTGTTTCGTCTAGTTTGCTTGTCAAAAATTCAAAATTACAGGGTATTAACAGCTGATACTCTATCTGATCATAACTATATCTCATTCAGGTTATATAATGAACCTATAATTAACATAGAAACATCTTTGAATTTCATCAAAAATTTATAACACGAACAACGCTAACTAGAAACAATTTTTTGGCTACCTGGATAACTACATTATCCCACAGTCTGACTTGCAGGACAGGGATGCAGCAGTGGATTTTATTAACTGGCAAATACATACCATCGGTAATGCCTGTGATTGCACCTTTTCTGTTCACAAACCAAATAAAAAGGGAGTTCCTTGGTGGAATGATGAGTTGGCAGACATGAGATTAATGAACAACAGAAACAAGAGACGATTTTAACGCTGCAAACTCTTGAGAGAGCTTTATTAAAAACTCAATACCTTGAGTATCAATCAAATTACAAGGCTGCCATCAAAGAAGCCAAGATTTAATTCTGGCATAAATTCTGCTTATCTGCCACATCTGATTTTTGGGGTTTGTTCATAAGTACTGTGCTTCGAAACTTAAAACGCCCACCAATCTTACAGGATTTACAAAAGGCGTTAACAGCAGTATGGAAAACATGGTTACCCATTTGATTGACGTTTTATGTCCGAAAGATAATTCCTTAAACGATTCTGAATTTTATCAACATATAAGAAATCAAACAGCTACTCCTTTGTTGGTCTCTTACTCTCTTCCTCAGTTCATGGTAGTAGAAGTGAATACATCTATGAAAAGACTGGCACGCAAAAAGGCACCAGGCCCTGATGAGATTGCTACAGATATAGTCAAAACGATATGGGAACATCGCCTTGAGAGCCGTTCGAATCTTTACAACTGCTGCCTACGTTATAATATCTTTCCAACAGCACTAAAGCAAGACTAATCACGATTCCAAAAACGAAGTCAGCCAATATTCACACACCAAATGATTACAGAAACATCTTTCTTTTATCAATGATGGGAAAAGTTCTTGAATGTCTTCTAACAAACAGTCTGACCTGGCATTCGGAAACCCAAGGATACCTTCATCAGAATCAATTTGGATTTTGTCCAGGGAATTGTATAGTTGATGTCATCCTCTTACTAACACACAAAATCAGAGAGCTTCAGGAAACATATCCTTGCATTCTTGGACCCTGTTTGGACATCGCTGGTGCTTTCAACGTAGCTTGGTGGCCAATGGTTTTATTTAGGCTTAGGCAAAGCTAATGCCCTGCTTACATTTATAACATGATCAGTGAATATTTACAAGAATGCACGGCTACCTCCAGCATTGGCTCGATCACATTCAACAGGCAAATCACCTGTGGTTGCCCTCAAGGATCTGTTTTCAACCATATTCTTTGGAATCTTATTTTTAATGATTTCCTAAAGCCTAGGTGGTGTATGGGCTGTTGCGTACGCGGATGACGCTATGATTTTAGTATGTGTTTGATCTAGTGCAGAAATAGAAAAAAAGACAACCAACATCCTAGCTGAGGTAGTGGAGTGGAATACAAACAACAAGTTGGATTTTGACCCAAAAAGACTTAAGGTATTATCAAAGGTATCACAAAACCAAAGGCTCCACATTATACAGAAGGACACCGATCCGTATGGATCGGTATCCTTCAGTATAATGTGGAGATCGTACCCCAGAAGGATACGGTCCGTATGGGAAACACTATTGTGCAGTTTGTACTTTCACTATAATACTTGGGCCTGATTCTACATCACAAGCTCAGCTGGACACCTCACAGTACAAGTGATAAAACAAACCTACTTCTTAATACCATGTCAAGAGTAGCAAACAGTAAATGGGGGCTTTGCTCAAAAATAATGAGCATAATATATGATTCGGTATTTATAAAAATGATTATTTACGCTGCTCCAGTTTGGTCTGACTGTCTCAGAATGGCACATACTGTATTGTTAAAATACTACAAACTGCACAACGCAGAGCACTTATCTATAGGGCTTACTCTACCTGCTATTAGGGCTACTCATCTATTCTTATCTATAGGGCTTACTCTACCTGCCCCACCTCTGCGTTACAACAAGCTGGCTGGAAAACTGGCCATCCAGATTACCATCAGCTTAATCACACAAAGGTGACTCATTCGAGACGATCAAATCAACTTGATCAATGGAATA